TGATACATATACATGTTCTTATGTTGTGTAGAAAGTTTGAGGTGATTCCGATCGAATTTGGTTTTTTTATGATTTTTAAAAGTTGCTCCAAAATTGAGCGAAAGTCCCTGTACTATAGTACATGTTCTCAGGTCAAATTTTGTCAAAAATGACTAGGAGAGAATTCTCCATTTTTATAATGTTTTCTGATACATATACATGTTCTTATGTTGTGTAGAAAGTTTGAGGTGATTCCGATCGAATTTGGTTTTTTTTATGATTTTTTAAAGTTGCTCCAAAATTGAGCGAAAGTCCCTGTACTATAGTACATGTTCTCAGGTCAAATTTTGTCAAAAATGACTAGGAGAGAATTCTCCATTTTTATAATGTTTTCTGATACATATACATGTTCTTATGTTGTGTAGAAAGTTTGAGCTGATTCCGATCAAATTTGGATTTTTCACGAATTTTTAAAGTTACCCAAAAATTTTTCCTATAATAATACAGGGTATTTCATCATCTTCTACATTTCCTCTCTCTCTCTCTAGTGGTAAAATAAGATCTCTTGCCTACTCCACCATTACAAGAAAGCTTATCTCTACATCAGAGGATGGTATGCTAGGCGTCTGGGACATGGACGCAGAGAGAGAAGAGGTAAGAAGATAGATTATATGATTATTAATCATCACTTTATACCTCTTCTATTGCTAGACTACAGAGTGGGGTGGCTCCAATGTATGCGAGAAATGTAACGTCCCTTTCTTTTGGAATGTCAAGGGAATGTGGGACAATAAGACAATAGGAGTGAGACAGGTCAGAATCATAATGATCATAATGTTTTCATGATTGTTTAAGATGTACATGTACATGTAATGCAATATCTATAACTTTATATGATACCTACTAGTACAATAAGGCAAAGTTTAAGTCACTTTCTAAACATTCAAAAAGCATTCAATTGTTTTATAAAGCATTCAAATTTCAGCCACATTAAATTTTTATGCTGCACCATTCATAATTTTATAGCATCATTGTCGCAAGTGTGGCAGAGCTATTTGTGCCTCTTGTTCTGATCAACTCTCAACTTATCCGAGAATGGGATTCGAGAAACCAGTTCGTATGTGCCAGGACTGTCACTCTTCACTAACAACTGACGAGTGAGTATTAAAATCACGCGTCTGTGATGTAGAGTTTTTTTTTATTTGCATAGTCGGAGTCCAATGGCTTCTTTTATTAATATGAAATCCATCGTTACTTCTCTTCATCTTGTCCATACTCTTGGTCACATGGTAACTGCTAGTGAAGACAAACAGATTAAAGTAAACTCATTATCTACAGTTATCATGCACTTTGACACTCTTTATTGATGACTACTACAGTCACAGGGCATTTTACTATAAGTATAATCAATAATTCTGCTATAACTTCTCATTTTAAAACTGATTTGTCCTTCTCTCTATATTCTTATTTCTTCTCAGATTTGGGACGTTAATCCGATGATGATGAACCACTAATAGTGCAAGAGGTTATCATACTGTATCATATTATTATTAATTTTGTTTGTATTCCTTACAATGAATGTTTAATGACTATTATATTATGCCTGGTGGCTGCATGAAGACTTTATCAAAATAGATTATTATATTTGATATCTTCTTTTAAATTAATTAACTTAATTCATGATGTATTTCGCATTTAATAATAGCAAGAGTACATAATATTATGTACTCTTGATAATAGTGCAGTCTATTTACTCTATTTTGCTTCTGTTTATCATTGTATCTGCTGCCAACATTGTAGGAACAATGTAGTAGAGTATGCTATAGTGCTGTTTACAGGATTTAAAACACGACATGTTATTCCATTTCTTCAAAATAAACTAAAAACAATGATCATTCAATTCATAATAATAAGAAAATATGCACTTTCATTCCACACAAAATTATATATTTCATATGATATGATATATCAGCAGATTATGTCTCGTTATTTTTACTGTACATGGAGCCATAGTAGTGTCTCCTTAGGTTCATCTTGCAGTTTGGACAGACACAACTGTGTCTGCTGAGCCACTCATCAATGCATGATGGATGGAAGATGTGTTCGCATGGGAGCTGTCTAACGTTTGTGCCTGTTTTGAAATCCTCTAAGCAAATATTACAGGCAACATGCTTCTCTTGTCTCCCTTCTTCGTATCTTCTTGTTGGTATGACTAGTTTGTCTGCAAGGCTCTTTCGTCTGGCTCTCCTTTTGAAGGACCGTACCATTATGATAGATGCAAAA